TTAAGTCTTTCATATTGCACTGATGAGATCCCTCAGAAAAGCAGGTTCCACCCTAATTCAGAAAGACACCTGCACACTAATGTTCATAGCAGCACTGTTTACAATAGCCAAGACATGGAAACAGCCTAAATGTCCATCGACGGATGACTGGATAAAGAAGTCGTGGTATACGTATACAATGGAATACTACTCAACCATAAAAATGACAACATAATGCCATTTGCAGCAACATGGAAGTCCCTGGAGAATGGCATTCTAAGTGAAGTAAGCCAGAAAGAGAAAGAAAAATACCATATGATATCACTCATATGTGGAATCTAAAGAAAAAGATAAATGAACTTATATGTGAAACAGAAACAGACTCACAGACATAGAATACAGACTCATGGTTGCTGGTGGGGAGAGGGATGGGAAGGGATAAACTGGGAGTTCAAGATTTGCTGATACTGACAGTTATATATAAAATAGATAAACAGGTTTATACTGTGTAGCACAGGGAAATATATTCAAGATCTTGTAGTAGCTCATGGTGAAAAAGAATATGAAAATGAACATATGTATATTCATGTATGACTGAAGAATTGTGCTGTATACCAGAAATTGATACAAAATGTAAACTGACTATACTTCAGTAGAAAGAAAGAAAGAAAGAAAGAAAGAAAGAAAGAAAGAAAGGGAGAAAGAAAGAGAGAAAGAAAGGAAGGAAGAAAAGGAAGAAAGGAAGAAAAGGAAGAAAGGAAAAGAAAGAGAGAGCAAAGGAAAGCAGGTTCCAACTGGAGGGAATAAGCCCAGTGGTCAGAGCTCTGGCAACACAGGACGCTAAGATGGTTTCAAATCTCACTGTTCAGTGTAGAGACTTCCACTTAATGCCTCATTTTTTAGTGTTATGTCTGACTCTTAGCTGTGCCAGTGTCAATCTGTTCACCTTTTCCGGAGAGTACACCTCCAGGCTCCCGCAAGGACTGGGGAGTGGCAGTCACTATACAGCCTGGGTGTGGCTTTCAACCATACGTCCGCCCCAGCTCATCCCCGCTATCCGTCGCACATGGTGAAGCTGATTCTCGAGGCTTTCTGAGGTTTTGTGGGCTGCGTCTTGGCTCCTTACACTGCCTGGTTACGTTTCAGCTTTCTCAGGTCTTCTAAAGCAGTTACCACTAGATTCACCTTGCTTTCATGTTCCAAGCTTCTACCCTTCTTATTTTTGTGGGTTTATGATTCCTTTTTGTCCAGACACTTCAAATGCCATTTTTTGAAGGATTTAGGGAGGCAGAAAAATAAATATTCTATGTTTACTCTCCAGTCTTTAATTGGACCTTCCTCTAGATTTTCCTATGGCATACTTTTTTTAAAAAATCAACTTTCTAGTACCTTTGGTGGTCATAGGAGGAAGCGATTAGAGCGTCCCTTCTTTATGTTCAAGCTTAAATTCCCTTGAATGTTTATAATCACCTCTGTGTGAAATCCAAGCCTTTCCTTACGTCTAAAATCAACAAGCATCCAAAGGAGAAAAATAATTTCCAAGCCCAGAAGGGATCAATTGTCTTTCTGGAAAGAGAACTTTGGCAAATAGAACAAACTTGCAGATTCCGCTATAAAAAAGAAATTCACATATAATTAAACTGTGTTCCCAGGAATCTAGTTTGTGAGAAAGAAAGGCTTATGTAAGAGGACAGAGGAGCCTCTGGAGGGAAATTTCAGCGTAGCAGCATGATTATTCTTGTCATTGGCTATTCAGTGTTTTCAAAAGGCATGGAATTAAAGTGGCTCCCATTTAGCCAGTTTGCCAGGGCAGATACAAAGAGTGTTCCAGAATGCCATCTGAAAATCTCACCTCTGTGGCATTCTGGCTGTACGCATCCTTTCTCTCTGAAATTGTCATTTTCACATGAATAGACACAGACATTTTGCTCAACACAGCATGGCTAACTCATTACTGAAGGATGAACGAGACTGCGTAATTCCTCCCTGGGGCTGATAGCTAGAACAGACAACTTCTCCGTTTTTTCTATATTTCAACAAGTCTCTGTATCCCTAGGTTTCACAAATATTAGGCCCCAAAGTCACAGTGATGCTGAAGGGGAAGCAAATTATGACAACCCAGGCATTCCTGAAGGTACCCGTGGGTTCCAACTTTTGACCATGTAGAGCCTAATGGAGCCTCTTTTTTGGTATAAAACACACTGATGAAGTTTTGGATGCACTCATTTGATTTCTCCTCTCTGGGCTAGTCCTCCTCTTCCCCAAATCTTTACTACACACTACTGTGAAACTAATTTCCCTTAAAAACTCATTTTTATTATATTTCTCCTTTATTTACAACCACCGATGACAATCTGTGATCATACGGAGTATAAATGCAGCTGGTCTGGCTATCTTCACCCCAGATTCCAGGTAAGTTTGTCTCCCCGTGGTCCCAGGTCCTCACTCCTTGCTCCTCTCTACGGCTCCCTCAACCTGCAATCCTCTTCCATTTATTCAGTTTTGTGTATTTAACACGGAGCTGTGCCAGGTGTGGGGAAGCAGAGCAAAGCCCCTGCAGTAGAGACACGCAGAATCTAATGGGGGAGGTAAGTAAGGGACTGAGACTGTGAGGAACACAAGCAGAGGGTACAAAGGGATTACGCGGTGGAGGACTGGGAGGCACAAAGTTGTTTTGAGATCAGTGAAAGCTTCCTAGAAGAAAATGCTGTCCAAACAGCGACCAAACAAACTAGGAAGAGGAGCTAGCCAGGTGAGAGAAGATGGTGCTATGGGGTGGGTGAGGACACCCTCCCTTCTGGGAGTATCTATCCCCCCAAAAGATCCCATTCAAGTCTTATGCCCCCAGGAGGCTTCTTCACCATCTCCTGTTTGATATCATAGGAGAAAGGCAGCCTTCTTTCACATCTCTTGTCTCTTCTCCAATGGTGTTTAGTTTCTGGTGGCTAGTTGATGGGAAGATGGGGCCGTGGGGGCAGAGAGATAGCCCCTATGGGCTTGGGCCTAATTCACATGCTTCAGGGGAACCAGAGATTTCACACTGGGTATTATGGGCAGAAATCCATAGTGGAATCTTGTTTTCTATTCGCAACATACAAACAAACAACATACACACACACAAAATACGCACAACACAAATATATATACATATATACATATAAAAGAAACATATATACACACACACACATAAACAAACAACATATATATACAAATATGTATTTTTACCAGGAACCTCCCCGGGAATAGTCCTGCAGACTGGGGTGGGACGTGGGCATCCCTGGGTGCCTTAGTCAAATACTACACAATAGCGCTCCCCCAAATTGACATTAAACCTGTAATACTTCCCATTCTTCCAAGCTGCTTTTGAGTTAGAAACCTAGAAATAAAAGACTAATTCTCTAGTGTCTGCTGCTCTCCTTTGACTCTGAATTATCATGCTCCTTCTCGTTGGACGCAGCTGCTATGCAGCTGTTGCGAGCGGTCACAAGAGTTCAAGGCTAGCCTGTGGCCCGACACAAGGAAGAGCTGTCACACGTTCCCTCTAGGGTGGTAAATGCAGAAGGCAACTATAGGAAAAAAGAAAAAACCCAGAGTGCAGGTGGAGAAAAGGGGTGGAGTCCTTTTCCAAGCCTCTTCTCAGGTGGCAAATGATTGCTTCTAAAATGGAGAATCCATTTTATGTCATTAAAATCTGAACAAAAGACAACTAATCAGGCCTCGTTTTCTTATTAGGAACATGAAAGCAGTCATCGTGCTTCAAGACGTTCAATTATCCTCTGTACAAATCTGAGGAGATGGGCTGTTTTTTTTTCTAAAGCTAATTGTTACACTTTTCCATTCGATACCGAATCACCCAATACAGCAAAAATACTACGTTTATAACGTGAAAATGCCTCACAGATCCATTGAAGAGTGCACATCCATGTTCACCAGCTGCACAAGCGCATTAGACCTGAGATTACAGGGTTTTTTGTTAGAATTTGGTGAAGCTCATTCATTTTGACACTGTAAATATAAGGTTGAAAATTCCACTGTTTTTCTGAGATGTCCTAATAATTATGTAGCCATTAATTTGTTTAGAAAAATTGGCCCTACAGAGTAGTCTATTACCAGCCTGCTCAGAAAACTTACTAACCTAAAATGCAGAAGTAAGATAAAACATATCCCCAAGTTTAAAGTAACACATGCAAAAATATGTTTCATAAGCACAGGTTTTGCCAAGCCCTTTTCCAGTCTGCAAGGTGAAAATGGTAACTCCAAGTATCAACTGTTGGTTGCAATTATTTTGATGTCTGCTTTACACATTTCAAATCCAAGTTTCTCTTTGGCATTAGTGCCATTATTTATATAACTACTATATTATCACAACTTATCTTCTCAGTGATTTCAATCTATGGTATTGAATTCTGAAATCTTTTCCGATCACTCACTTTTCCCTATTTCCTTAAATAATTAGGTTTATTGAATTCTCAAGTCTCCTACTAGGTTCATGGAGGCTGTTAAGGTTTTTTTCCATCATTTCTATATTTCCAAATATACCCATTATCAAGATTAGTTCAGATGTCACTGGAAACTCCATGAAACTGTCTTTTATGCCTCCATCCATATTCAATCTTTTACTCTTTTAAAATCCTTTGGCAATGTATTTCCCCTTTTCTGTGGTACTTATCATTTTGTACCTTGTATTATAGTTTTAGTATTCGTATTTTATTTATGTAATAGACTTCAGCCAGAAAGAAAAAGAACTGGGACTATGTAAAATGTATCTTTACATTATCACACACTTTTAAGTCTTCTCTGTCTACTAAATTCTCAATTAAAATTTGTTCAATAAATGATGGAAACGAAAAGAAAAGAGAGAATGGTCTTTTTTAGAGGCAAATATAAGGCTAGCAGCCAGTGGAGGTCCCTGCCATCGTGTTTAAATCTATTCATTCTCATGTTTAGTTTTCAGTGGTCTAAGTATGATGCCCTCAACGTGGGGTCACTAAAGAGATATCATATGAAAACATTCAACTTGCCTTTCTTGACGGGTTTGCTCCTCTGTAGTTTCCATGGCACATTCCAGAGAATTCTGGAGCGACTGCAGCTGATTCAAGGTCTCTTTCAATAAAAATCGAGTTACAAATTGTTCCAAATTGGAAGCCTCTTGGTAGTCCTAAGGATGACAAAACAAATGCAATCAGAAGTTATGGTAGGAAAAAATAACCAGGAAGGTTTTTCCTCGTGTATCCATCCATCTCAGATTAACCCTCCCGAAAAAGAGACAAAGAGGACAGAAGACGTGTTGGGCCCTGGAAACTGGGGCAGAGCTCTCTTCTACCCACGAGAAGTTGAATAAGAGAGCTGCAGAAATGAATGGAATATCTCATCTCCCATTGCACCTGCCTCATCATTAGGAAAAAAAGGACTCAACTCAGTTGAATTATGGAATAGACATCTGCAGCAAAGGAGAAAAATGATCTGGAGAAAAGGCTGGAATGTGACTAACTCTGGATTTGTTTTCTGTTATCGACTAAATGTAGTCTCACGTCAGCAACTGGCTTAATTCCCTCTTAATGTATTTATTATGCCTGGTTTGCATTACACTGAAGCCAAAGGAAATTATGTGCAGTTATCTCAAAATTCAGAAAACGTTAGGCTTGGAATATTTCAACAGTTTACTAAATATGCTAATGTCTCTCCTTCAGGAACTTTACTCCAAACTCATCTGCATCTAACTTCTGGTGCAACATCTCAGCCACAAGTACCATTCATCCAAACAGCCCCACGTGTATAGAGACCATTGCAAACACAACAGCTACACTTGCCAGAGCGGAGTTTAGGTACACAGGTGGGTTGTGGATGGTGCCACTTGCTGCTGTCATCCTCTAATGTCTCAGGGAGAACCAAGAAAGAAAATAAAACCTTTTTGGCATGGAATTAAATGGTGTCAGAACCACTTTTTCAGGTCATGGGACTAGCCAGCTAAATCTGATTTTCTAGAGTATCAGGTGGAAATGACAGATGTTAATTTCAGTCAAGGACAGGATTTATTTGGCTCCATTACTAAAGAAAAATGATTATTTCACGGTTGAAGATACAAACCTGAAAGGAGTGATGGTAATGCCAGGAAATACAATGTGCTAGGGATTCTTGGGGCCATGGTTATAAACCCAAGCAAACAAGATTTAGTTAATTAACCTTACTGGGTGTCAAGTCTCTCTCTTCCTTACAAATCAGAGTGAGGACTCTGGCATACTTCCAAACTCAAAAATATTTGTACTTCTATCAACTCTAAACTAGGAAATATGGAACCTCTGGCCTCCTGATCCAAGTTTCTCTGGAATTTGTCATAGAAAACTTCATTTCTTTCCTATTTTAAAATCATAAAAGGTTTCAATCATTAGTCTCTTTTTAAAAGTTCTTTTTTGTTTTTGCAGGTGAACAACATAGGAAATTTTCTTGTCATCGTATCTTAGTTAAAAATTTAAAACTTGAACGTCTTTAAACTCCAACTAACAACTAACTATAAAACAAAATATTACATGCTATAGTAACTATATGGACTTTGGTGAGTTAATTCAAGATAAAAACTACACAAAATATTTCATGTGATCAAATAGCTTGCCATTCAGTGGCAATAAAAGCTTCAAAAATTATTTCTCACTGTGTTTATAGAGTTGAGTAAAACTTTTCTTTGAGATGAAAAGACAATGTGATGATAGAAAAAGAAGGTGTGCCTGATCTGTTACCCACAGTTCTTCCATTTTCCTAAAGCATAGGTTTAAAATAAAGTATATTAAAATGATGAGAAAGCATAATTGTGTAGTGAGAGATCATGCCAACTGTATGTGGCTCTCAGTATACACTGCACTAATATAAAGCAAATGATGAAAGTGTTAATTCTTATTTGCAGACACCATGTAAAAGTGAAGGAAGTATGCATTTATTACGCTATGCAGCACGGCACTGGCCTTATTCTTTCCTTCCTCACTGAAATGTTAAATATTTGTCGTGTCAGAACTGTAAGAAGGGAGATTTTGTTTTTGCGTTATCCAATTTAAACACTCTGGTCACTGCTATTGATTTTAGCTTCTGAGAGGCAAAGGTCACACCTTATGCTTCTGTAAGCCTCGTGGTGCCCAAAGCAGATACTCATTCAACACTTGAATGTTTGCACGTGATCTCCTAACTCTGAGAATTGATTGTATTTGCTACTGTGGTCTCATGTACAAAGACTTTGGTGATGTTAGAGTTAGATACTTAAGGACAGTTAAAATCAGACAATTGGCTGCTCCATCGTTGTTCTAGCATAGCAAATTAAGAAAAGGTTATGCTGAGATTTGCCTCTCATCTTGAGAATTTGCCAGCCTCATTGAGCGACTCTTCGGATAAAATTGAGATGGCACAACCCAAATGGTACATTTGACAGAAATGCTGATGCCTTGACATCGAGAGGAGTGGTGGGGAGGTTTAAGCTTTGGGGGATTCAGTTTTTTTAGTCAGTTTTGAAGATCTTCTGTTATGCACTGCCCTTGATGCTAAGGAGAAAAAAAAGCTTGTTTTCCAATTCCCATCTATCCTTCCAAATTCAGCTGGTGGCACTGTTTGTGTATTGCCTTTCCTCCCTTGAATCACCACTTTCCTTCACAGGATTAGGCACACACCCTTTCCCCTCTGGGTGTTCTTGTCACACTTTTCTCCTCCTAGGGTACACATTTAGCATTTTTCTGTTGTAATACATTGTTTGCTTGTCTGTCTCCGCCATCCTAGGTTAGCTCTTTAAAGACTAGGGAATGAGTCTTAGTCATCTCTGCCTCCAGAATGCCCAGAACAAAGCCTGGCTCACAGCACCTGATCCAGAAATGCTTAAAGCCTACATGAGGAACGTGGGACCACGTGGAGATTCAGGCACTGGGGGGAGTGCCTGAGCTCTTCCCAGTCACCAGCTGCCTTCCCCTGCGTCTAGCCCTGGCTGGTGGCAGACGCTGCTGCCCAGCTTGCCCAGTTATGTGGGCTCTACAACAAAGGGAAACACAGCTTTACTTTTAACAGATTGTCCTTATTTCATTTTCTGGACCATTTGTTAGACTTCTTCCCTCCCTTCTTTCTGGATTCTGGGGTTTAGGACTGCAAACCCAGCTGGCACAGCTCCAGTCTCCTTTTCCTTCTCTCAGATATGCAGCACGTGTTCCCTTGGAAGGCACCGGCAAAAGAAGCAGATGGAAAATTAAATAGATAGCAAGCTGGAAAATGTCAAAGCCTGGTCCTTTTTATTCTCAACAAATGTATTGGTTGTGAAGGTATAAAAAAGGGATCTTTGCATGCTGAACTCCCGAAAAAACTGATACGTTGACTTAAGGCATGTGTTCCTTTGAGCAAACCTCAGAATCTGAGAGATTGGTAGAAAGAACTTTTATTGGTCTAATAATGCAGTAAAAAAAATATACAGATGTTACTTGATACCCAGATTATGCCTCTTTTTCCAAACACAGGAAAGTCCTTCATGTCTATTAAAAAGGATGTGGGCAAATGAAGGCTAACAGTATATTTCAGAGATCCCAGTAATGTTCATTCAAGTCACTAATATTTGTTCAATTAATAATTAAGTGGAAATTGTTAATAAAGATTTATTACTATTTCCATTTGTGCCTTTGGAGAACCAGAATATAAATATTTCAATCCACATACCTCCGTGTGGAGCTGGAACGGGGCTGGGAGTCATTCAAGTGAGATTCTTCGCGTTAGAAGCATGATGCTTTGGAAATCAGGCTTCTTTGAAGACTACCTGTGCATTTTACCTGTCAGATCATCCCTTAGAAAGCAAGCTCTTGCCAATCTGGGTGACAGAAGAGTGGAAACCTCTGCCACTAGCCCGCTATGAATCATCTAGGTTAATTACAGAAATAAGAGCAGAGTCTTCCCTGTTTGTGTTTGCTCTATTTAAAAATTAATCAAGTCAATGACATCCAGTCTCCATGTCTCCTTGTCTGTGAGATCAGATACGATCGCACGCAGTAGGAGGTAGGCTTCCGACTGCCTTTTGATCTGAGTCCCAAGAGCTCTCCCTGTTGTGTGAGACATCTGTGCCAGCTTTTATAACAGGAAAAAATTCACTTTTTACAAAGATTCTTTTTTTTTCTCTTTTTCTACTGCCTCCCAAACTGTTACTTTTTAAATACTAACTGGCTTACACTATTGTCTATGTCTTATTTCTTTAAACATTCTTACACTTTCATTTTTAAATGACACACTTAAAATTAGGAGAATACCATATCAAGATTAAGACTTAATAAAATACAAAAGTAAAGAACTGGTCCTTAATTAGAGTCTTGCAAATAGACTGAGGTTAAGTTCAGATAGGTCTCTGGAAATCTTAAATGACAGAACAACAGATCAAAATAGTTTCAAACTGCAGATTCCCAAGAATTAAGTGAATTGTAGTTTTGCAGGTTAGCAAAAGAGAAAATAAGGCTCTAATTTTGGAATAAAATGTTATCAAATAACCAATAAATTTAAATAATATCTAAGTCCTATGTTAACTAGATACTCTTGGTTAGAAATCAGAAAATATTTCACCAGCACCCCAATGTTCATAGCAGCACTATTTACAATAGCCCAGACATGGAAACAACCTAAATGTCCATCAACAGATGACTGGATAAAGAAGATGTGGTTTATTTATAAGATGGAATACTATTCAGCCATAAAAAACAACATAATGCCATTTGCAGCAACATTGATGTCCCTGCACTGAGGCAGCCCCGAGGGACTGCAGGGGGCTGCACGCTGTGCCTGGGAGGGGATACGGAACAACAACCTCAGTCCCCCATAAATTGCAAAAAAAGCAAAGCAAGAGGGCTGGTGTGCTCTGTGGGGAGGGGCACCGTAACCTTTGTCTCCTCAGACCCGAAGCACCATTACTGGCACTTCTCACGAGAAAACAGGCTGGGCACAGCCACAGCCACCATCTCCTCCTATGCACAGCGCCCGGGCGGGGCTGGGGCCAATCCCTGCATCCGCACCCAGGGGCTCCACAACCTCCTAGGCAGGACTGAGACTTGTTTACAGCCCGAGGCAGATAGGATCTTTCTGCCCTGGCACCTCAGAGAACTCGTGCCTCCAAGACAAACAAGGAGCTGAGATTTGGGCCGTTCTGTGGTCTTCCCTGAGCCT